AACACAGGCAATCCAACAACGGACGGAAGGACCTTGCAAACCTGTGGGGAGCTTAACCGAGGCCAAGGGGGGGATGTATAACAGTTGGCCTTGGTGCGTTGCTGGGGTTTAAGATTACTGAGGTACCGTTGCGGTTGGGGCATTGGCTGGTCACTAATTTTGACCCGACTGAGATGCGGATTGACTTGGGGAATGGTCGGTACATTCCTGTCACCAAGGAGGATGTCTCCGCCGTTTTTGGCCTACCGTGTGGGCCAATACCGATATCTGAACGGGATAGCCAGGTGGTTAGCCCAGAGTTGCGGGACTGGAGGGACGTGGTGAAGCAACGGAGGGGGAGGGTTACAGTTAGGGCGTTATGTACGCGGATGCGGAATTGACTGATGGTGGTCCGTGGTTCAAAATTCATTTTAGTGTCGTAGTGATGACCACCCTCGTTGCGAGCACACCCAATGGATATGCAAACCAGAAAACTGTGCACGTCTTGAGTAGTGTGGATACGATTAAGGACCTCGACTGGTGTGGGTACTTGCTCCTCTCATTTGGTTACTACCATCAGAGTTGGACTGAGGTTTCCTCTCGCAAATTCACTGGCCCACTCCTATTTCTAGCTGTAAGTGAATATTGGTTTTGGCTCCGTAGTATCTGTGTGTTTTATCTTAGCTAATAATGTTGTGTATGTCTCTATTACAGCTCTTGTATTTAGATAGGGTTGTGGTGGGGGTGCGGAGGTCCCAAGGGCGATCCCGGTGGTGGTGGGTGGACCGCAGATTTCATCAAGGCACGCGTGCAGAGTGAGCTTGATTCTGGGGATTTGGCAGGGGTCTGGTGGATGTTCTCTCTCTGTGCATTCCAGGCCGGTGCATCGTTACAGGGTCGGGGGGGGGGGGGGGGGAACCGCCGCACGGGCATGCTCGCGTTGAGAACGTGGTATGCTCTTCGATGGAGCAATATTTGTCAAACATTTTTTTTTTGGAATCTGCATGTTAACATTCGGTGTTGTGCAGGGGTTTAGGCAGGAGGTCGCAGTGATCAGTGCTGAGTTGCGTTCGCTGACCACACGTGTGGCGACTTGGTTTCCAAGCACCCGATGAAGTGCAGGAGGATTGCAATTTCCAGTGGGTGGTGGACTCAATCAAACAGTTTGGGGATATTGTAAAGTTGCCATCCAAGGTAGCTGAGCTAGCTCCTCAGTCGCCCGCCCGTCGCCTTGCCGCGATGAAGGACCGTTAGTCTATGACGCAGACTTTATAAGAGAGTTGGACCAGGCTGAGTTGGCTGCAACCGGGACTTATGGTGTGTCCGATGTGCCAAGTTTTAGCTTGGGGTTAACGCAAGAGTTTGCAACACACAACCAGATGAACAACACGACCCAACAGCCGGTCACCACTGCACCACCTCCACAGGTATACTAATGCATAATAGGCTTTGCTTCTGAATTTTTTAGAGGCTAAATTTTAGGCTAACGGTTGCAGGAACCTATCACCGCAAGTGTTGTATCTCATCCTGCTGCAGAGCGCACAGTTTCTGGGGCAACCGAGACTTATGGTGTGTCCGATGTGCCAAATTTAGCTTGGGGTTGACGCAGAAGATTTGCGACACACAACCAGATGAGCAACACGGGTCAACAGCCGTCACCACTGCCACCAACTCCACAGGTATACTAATGCATATAGGCGCTGTTTTCTGAAAATTTTAGAGGCTAAATTTTGGGCTAACAGTTGCAGGAACCTATCACCGAGAGTGGTGCATCTCATCCTGTGGCAGAGCGCACAGTTCCGGGGGCAGTAGCTTGGCACCACGTGCAGGAGCCACTTGTTCAGCATGGCCTGTCGCCGGGGATTTACTTCAGCACCACGTTTAGTTACCCCATCTTCTCTGCTGCCGCACGTGTATGTTCTGTGGATGTGGGTATTTAGGTGCCCCAGGGTGGACGGTAAGTGGCATTAATGTAGTTGAGTTTGGGTTTTGGTCGTATAGTAATTACGATTGGTAACTATGATTGGGTTCTCTTCTAATTATTGTTTTGATCCCGTAGCGATGAGGTGTTGTTCCAATATGCTGAGCAGACTGTAAAGTGGCACAATTCCAAACCCTAAAGGAGGGGTCGAATGTGTCCAGGACTATTGTTGATGCCTGGTGCTATGTCATGAATGCCCGGGAGAAGGTGAGCACAACTGGCGGCGTGACCCGACTGTTTCTACCACTAGCACGACGGTATGGTAGTATACCATATTTTTTGCCTGTATACCATATCTTCTGCCTGTGCACTAGGTGAACGGTGTGGTGCATTGCGAGCTCTAAGCCCTTCTAATTAGCATTTGTAATATGCAGATTGGGACCGTTGATGCAACATCAGCTAGCGAGGAATGCCAGGATCGCTTGGTTTGAGAGGCGCATGGATGTGGAGTTGGGGAGGATGGGCTGCGGGCATACCGACGATGTGGATTTGGTGATGTACCCTAGTCGCTAATATAATTGCAACAACACATAACCTCAATCCACTAATCCTCCTTTTTAATCCCAATGCAGTTTGTTTTTCCAATTTTCAACAATGACACCTATTACATGATGGCTATCAATTTCAAGCATCCCCGATTTGACATCATTGACAGTTCGTCTGCGAAGAAGACTAACAAAGATATGTATGGGGGGGCACCGGAGGATCTGGTATGTGGCTTTGTCATGCTGTGCAATTTTGAGGTTGCAGTAGTGAACCTAAAGCATTAACGGGGGTACAATGTCTATGAGTGTTAGCTTTACTTGTAGGTTAGTAGAACTGTTAAAAACAGCTGTAATTCAGGTCAGAGTAACAAGTACTAAGGGGGCATAAGGGTGATTTGAAGCTCTAGGTTTATGCTAATAACTACGGGGCTAATAAAATTGATAGATCACCACAGTGCTATATATATTTCTCAGTTTTTCATTAGTGCCAAACCCGTGGTAGTTTCGTTAACTGTGGTCTTGGGGTTGAGGAAGAAAGGGAGTGGAATTTAGGGGGTAGTGGGAGTATGATGAGTGTTGGTAACATTAACATTCTGCCTATTTATGTTTCTCATATTCTACATATTTACTTTTGCAAAAACATTATAAAGACACATATTCTGCTTATGTAGTTCAACATTTTGGGGCAACAGTTTGCACTCACATTTCTAATATTTTTTTGGAGTCCAATGTAATTAGTCATGTGTCTAATTATATGCCTAATTATATATTAATGGGATGGTTTATGCCCCCCTTAACTTAAATTACTATCATCATTATTAATGATCAGTGTGGTGCAAATCATGTGTCTGGGTGCGTACCTGGACTCTAAGCTGCAGGGACTACGCAGTGCATGCCTCCAAATGATGAAACCGAAGAGGATGCAGATGGCATGGAGGGATACCACGTCAACGTCGGAGTCTGGGGTCTTCACGATGCGGCACATGGAGTCATACGCCGGGCAGGGTTGTGCGAGCTGGGATTCTGGCCTGCAGCGGGGGAATGCTATGCAACTACTAAACTTACGGAAGAACTACATGCATAATATCTTGCTCAGTGTGGTTAACACTCATACAAACAACATTGCAGCGCGCGTCGCGGGGTTTGAAGGTAAAAGGTTGGCAGAGATGCATCGGTGATCGTTACAGGGTGCTGGAGTAAATACATTTTTGCTAGTAGGTACACCTCCAATCTGGGTGGGTTTTTTTTTTTTTTTTTTGGTACAGCAGGTATTGAGTAGCGCAGGCAGGGTATGCTTGGATGTTTTGATTAAATTATCGTAGTCAGTGGTAGACTTTGAATACTTAGTCTAGTAGTACGGTTGGGGCAGTGCATCAGTGATCAATAAATTTTTAATTGAATTTTTTGAGAAATAAGGTGCTTTTCCCAGTAATTATCAATGCCTTGTTGCTCTTTGTTATATATTGATCTGGTCATAAACCAATAGCAGCGCACCCCTAACAAACCAGAGGTGCACCACCAATCCAAAGGCAGTGCAGCCATGCAGATGCATTCTACCGGTAGCATGGGTATACTATTGTTTGTGCACCATCAGCCCCACAAATGCACTATACTAAACAACCCCTACTAACAATTCTATAGGAAAATGTGATTACTAGACAAGCAGCTACACACTGGGAAACAGTTTCAACCATCCACCCAAAAAGTTGTGCTTTCAAATTCAACATTAATCGTGAATATTCAACATTAATCGTGAATTGTTATGCAAGTTGAACTTAGCAGAATTCAATGCTTCAATAAAAAATCACAAATATTTGCTGGGGAAAAAAAACTAACAAAAAAAAAAAAAAACATAAGGGGTTAAAAATACCAATGCTATTTAAATTAGGTAAACGAATTACATACAGAACTTTGTAGCTAATCTAAAACGGAATAAAAAAAATGCAAACAGACTCCAAATTTACCAGCAAGCTACTTTGAGGGACAACTACGAGCGTTATGCCAGGCGTATTTGCCACAAATCCCGCACTTTCGGTCGGGTTTCACATTTTTCTCGATGGCTAACTCCCTACTGCTTTTAATGCGCTTCCCGGTGCCTTTGTTTTCTGCTTGGGCAGGGGCTTGGATTGTTATGGATTGTGGTGGCTCCACGCCACATAATGCCTGGATTGCAGCACGGTTACCCTTAACCGGGTTCACAGATATACCGTCACTAGCAAATTTAGCGGTAAGACCCTGAAGTACCGCCACCATCCGTGTTTGTCGTTCTATGCTATTACCTACTAACCCAACACACGTGTTTATCTCAATCCATAGTTGGGTTGCTGCGGGTGTGGGTTTATCACCATCAGACGGGAGACCCTTGCATGCACCACAGTTTAGGTGTTTGCACCAACGGCTCACAATGTATTCGGGCGGTAATTGTTCCAACTGGGCACCCCTGAAAACCACAAACATATGTCGACAGAATAGGCCCATTCTTCGGAACAAGTTGCAGCTACATGACGTTCCAAGACCGCTTACCTTGTAGTGCACGGTCGAAATAATGGTGTACTCACCATCAATGTCGTAATAAGTGCTGTCCCCGTCTTGTCGTACACCGACCACAGAACAATAAAAACAAGCAGCTTCTATTTCTTTCTGTAACTCGTAAAACATAGTGATCGTGAACAGCTGTGCAATATGTCGCTCGAGTGCTAAAGGTGTTTTAAACTCTGGCAGGTATCCCTCGCACTGTGCGTTCAATTTATCTTGCCGGTAGCGCTGTGTTCCCAACACGCTCTCGAATTGCATGTAGAACTCTACCAAACTAGAATGTGGGCGTGTGAATTTACCGTATACGCCATTCTCTGCTTCTGACCGTGATGTGGTATGCAACAACCCACTCATGGGCAAATCTGAGAAAAAAAGCCGGGATCTAACTTTCCCGTTCCGCATACATTTTGCAAAACCATCGGTAGGTGGATAGATTGTATTCATCCATTAGTAGTTGCCATTGGGCCTCAAACTCCACACGGTCGATTGTATCGTTCCAAATGATAGCATTTAGTTTCTTGCGGAACTCATTGTCCTTAGCTAACTCACTGACGAGCTTTTCATTAACGTTTGTCATGATGTGCCACATACAGTAGCGATGATGGCATTCTGGTAATACTCGTTCGATAGCAATTCGCATAGCGGGGTCTTGGTCGGTCACAACGCACACTGGCCTCTTGCCCATTGCACATATAAATTGCTCCAACAACCAGCTGTATGAGTCAGCATCTTCTTTAATCAATAGACCGGCCCCGAAAGTGATGCATCGTTTGTGGTTGTCCACACCAGTGAACGGCACAAACACCATGCTGTACCTGTGCTAATAGCTGTGAAATTTTCAAAAAACAAAACACAACAGTTTCATATATACAGTGCTAATAGCTGTGAAATTTCCATCCCCCCCCCCCCCCCCCCCCCCAAAAAAAAAAAAAAAAAGAAACCAACTAAAAAATAGAAATTTCCATTAACGCCATTGCGCATACCAGTACTGCCTTGCCGGTGCGTCATATTAAAACTAACCTCTGAACATCACAATTGAGCAAGTTCACTACTTTATTTATCAAGTACTGCCTTGCCATTGCATCATATTAAAACTAACCTCTAAACAACACAGTTGACAATGGCAAAGCAGTTAGTTAATACTCTATTTTATATAATTTGGATTACAAATTATAAACTATTCTATTTAATTAGTTAATAGTAGTTTATGATAATTTGTGCCTGCTATTCAAAATTAGATTTGGGAAAACAACACCACTAACATAAGCTATATAATTGACAATGGGCGTCATTTTATACCAATTTCTGTGCAGTGCATAAAATCGTATAAAGCTATGCATTTAGTTGCTAGTGTGTTTGTATATCAACTCATATAATTACCGGGAGGTCAGTACAAACACCAATTAAAACAAGGGGGATTGAAAATCAAATTGTAGCACCGTACCTGTTCGTGCCATAGGTTGCATCGAAAGAAATGTTGTCACCATAGCAAGAAAATTTCCGCCTACTGAGGGGGTCAGTCCAGAATAGTCGTGATACCCGGTGCTCTTCATCCAGATCGTATTCAAAGAAGAAGTCACTACAAGCTTCGTGCTTTGCCTTGAATGTTGCAATAATCATCTCGCCATCAGCTACATTGATGTATGTTTGGACGTCTCGTTTAAAATTGTGGAATTCAACGTCGGTTGCACCGATATTTGCATACGATCCGGTCTTCTCTTTGCAGAACCGCAATCCTGTTGAAGCACCGATGTTAGCCTTAACACAATTACTTAAAAAAGCTTGTTGGACCACACCGAGTCGTCGGTTAATTCGCATAAAAACTTTGGATGGCTCCGAGCATAGCTTGTGGGTGTGTTCCTCAACCAAAACGGACACTTCGAACTCGCCGGAGCTTTTTTTCGTAAAGCCAATCCTGGCTCCGCAATTAACTCTATTAGAAAGACGGCAGCGCCGCTCCCGCTTCTCTCTCCCACCTAGTACCCGCTCATAACCGTGAGGTTTATTACCACCACCTTTCACCCCTTGCCGACTACACACCAAATAGCCTGAGTAGATTTCTCCGTCTCGGTCGCGCTTCACGGAACTCTGGCGGACATCAAACTCGTATATTCGAGCGTAGTTGATATAGCAGTTGATACCTTCGTTGAGTGTTTTAAATACACGCCCCGGCGTCGGCCTGATGGAAGCGCTCACGGTGGGGGTCCATTGTTGTTGGTCGGTCGTTGTTGAACCCATAGCAAAGCCTGGTTCGGACGCTGTTTCCGGTATCATCGCTACGCCTTCTGCACAAACACGGGACGAATGTTACAGGGGGAAGAAAAACAGTGCCGGTAGCCATGCACTTGGGAATAATTACTCACAAACCTTTTACGCCGCCGGCATCGGGGTTGCTTGTCGTCATCTTTCGTTGTTCGCGCACGGTTGTTTTACGGATGAGGTGTCCGAACCGCAAATCTCGCAACACAGGCGGAAGATGCAATGTCAAACTCTATCCAAATGCCCGTGGAATGGGAGGGAGAAGTGTGGTTACGTATGGACACTGTGTATCCCATGTTACGTGGTGCAGGGGGTTGGTGTGCGCAAGTCATCTTGAGCCCTATGATCTAGTACATCAGCGCACCGTATTGTTCCACAAGTTCACATGTTAATAATGGTTCGCACAAGAAAAATAGCATATATATATATATATATATATATATATATATATATATATATATATATATATATATATATATATATATATATATATATATATATACATATATATAGGTTCTGGTGTAGGTGGTAATTCCAGGTGCGGTTGTGCAAGGAGAGGAGAGCGATTAATTTTGTTTAAATCAACGTTCAGGATTATCAAAATTTAAAAAAAAAAAAACGCGGTGGTAATTTGGTAATTTTTGCAACTAGATCATATTTAAAGTGTGCGGGTTTGATGCTTAAGGTGCGTGGGTTTGGTGCTTAAGGTGCGTGTGATTGTGCTTAATGTGAGTAGTTGTTGAAACTTAAATGCGTTAGTTTTGTGCTTAAGGTGCGTAGGTTTTGTGTTTATGGTGCGTGAGTTTGTGCTTAGGGTGCGTCATGTTTCTTCTTCGCACACCATTTTCTGTAAGTCACGGGTAATTCAGACCCTCAAGAAGAACAAAACTTTTGAAATGAGGGGTGGTTCAGACCCTCAAGAACAAAACTTTTGAACAAAACTTAATGTGCGTCATTTTAACACTTAAGGTGCGTTGTTATAACACTTAAGGTGCGTTGTTCTAATACTTAAGTGCGTGTTTCTATCACATAATATGTGCCATTTTCAGCTCATTTCTTCCAGACACGCGTTTTTTTTTTTTATAATAATTTTCATTGATTTGAGCCGTCAACCGCACAACCGCACGGGAAGCTTTTACTGCACCTGAACCCTTCACTATATATATGGTTTAAATGAGGACATTGCTTTTTGTGCGGCTGGTTCGGATTCATCATTAGGTATGCAAAAATACATCACATAGTGTTCGGAAATGCACCAATACACCACCAAATGCATCATACCACAATACATCTAATGGTACATATTCGAACATTTTATAGTGTATTTATGTGTACCTAATTATGGTGAGTCACTGCATGAAAATTTGACCATATGTGTGTGTAGTATTAAGGGACCGTAAAAATCATTGTATGGCTATAATTTAATGTTAAAATAGTTAGTATGAATAAAAGAGTGCTAGCCTACGAGTATAGTAACAATAAAATTTTGTCATATACCTATAATTGAATGTTAAAATAGTTAGTATGAATTTATGTTCAGAAAAATTTAAAAATTGAAATGTAAATTGTTGTCTGTTTATGTGTCCATTTTCAAGAGAAAATGAGCCAAGTTAGGGGAAGTGTTATGTGGAGTTCTGTTGGCTCTTTGGTCCGATGACCTGATGTATCCTTTCAATTCACAATTGATGATATAAAAAAAATATGAAATTTATCAGGATCAAGTAATAGAGAAACAATAGTTGTAGATGCAATGAAAAATTGGAGATAGAAAAAATAGAGGAAATTAGGACTTCAAAATTTTGACTTTAAAGGGTCAAATGTTTATATATATATAGTTCGATAATAAGTAAAAAAATATAAATACACATGACATCTCAATCAGCGCAAACATGTTTGATAACCTGCTAAAAATGTTAATTGCTATTTTTTGCGATTTCATTAATAAGTTTGGAACTTATTCGAATTCGGTGACTTAATTGCTATCTCCCAAATAATTCAATGCATATTTGTAACTTTTCTCTATATTTGACTTAACACCTTTTTTCCATTACTCCTTGAATTGGTTTGTGTTGAATATGATTTATTTTTTTTAGTCATTAACTAGTATTTTCACCCGTGCGATGCACGGAATGAATTTATTATAATATTTGAAGAATATTTAGAATGATATACAATTGTATTATGACATCGAATATTATATACTGCTTGAATTTGAGCAAATAATTGTCCAATTAATAGTCAACGTGTAGATGTACGCATCTGGTGTTGAAACTTTAGATATTTTATATATCAGTGTTTAGGATTTGTATTAATTGGTCTAATTAGCTCCTATCTAGCAACTCAGTTATAGAAATTATTTGTATGGAAGATATATTTTCTACGTAGATATATACCAATTTTGTCATCTTTGCATAAAAAGAAAACATAATATCGGTGGTTTGAATTACACATTATTTAAAACCTCTTTGTAGACGACATTGGTAGTAGCAACAGGATTTTGTCAACCCTCGTCTGGAGCTAACACCTTCAACCATCAAGATAGGTGACTCGGGAAAAGCCACGCACAATTGATTGTGATTAAAGACATATTTTTTTTTAGCAATAACCCAACGTGTGTTAGTGTTTGGCTCTGGCTTTTGTTGATAGTCATAACATATGCGAGCATCAACAAAATTGTTTACGTTGTAACGTGAAGGGCAATCTCGTATCGGAAGGGGTGAGAGACATTCGGGGGATAAGAACTTTGGTTCCTTGATATGTCCCATTAGCTATTATTACTTCGACAATGTGATCTACCAATCTTGGAACATGATGGGCGTACCGTTGCAAAGACCAAGAGAGTGGTCTATGTTCTACAACAACATAATAGGTGCACCAACCTTTAACGTCAATGAATGATTTGGAAATCCAGACAATCTCAAACTATTTAAGAATTCAGGAGTATTTACTTCTAATATAATAGATTTTCACCGTCTGATTCTACCTTACACAAAGAGTCACAACTTAAATATGTTCGACCTTCTGCAGTGTTAATGTCACATATGTACTGATTAATTTGATCAATGACATCTAAAGTCGGTGCGGTGATCGCTCGGCCTTCTAGTGAAATATTAATATTCATTTCCTTTCTCGTCCATAAAAAGAATTGATATTCATTTTCATATAATTAAAAAGTAATATAATTATAAAAATATAATTACCGCTTATATTTCTAGTAAAATGTTAATATATTCATTTCTTCTTTCCTTCATAAATAATTAATATAATTACACTAATATAACTGTCAATTATATTTTCAGTGGAATATGATATATTCATTTCCTTTTTCCTTCATAAAAAAAAAGTTAATATTCATTTCCATTTGTTTTTCCTTCCTAATTATTTTCTAATATTTCATTTGTGGTTACTAATTTTTTCGTAGGGAAAGATGTGTTATATTTCAATGAATTTTTAATATTAATTCACTTTTTCATTTGGCCTGATTTTCATGCATATTAGTAACTGAATATTATAATAGATTCCCGTGTAAAATTCATTTCGTTTTTTCGTTCATAAAAAGAATTAATATTTATTTCTATATAATTAAAATGTAATATAATTATGAAAATATAATTGCTGATTTTCTTTCGAGAAATATTAATATATTCATTTCCTTTTTCCTTCATAAATAGTTAATATAATTAATAAAATTATAATAATATAATGGTCGATTAATATTTATTTCAATTCATATTTCTTTATAAAAAAATTAATATTCATTTATAGTCATAAAAATAATCTGATACGTTTGTAATATTCATTTCTATACATAAAAAAATAATATGGTACGTGTTTAATAATCATTTCCTCTTTCCTTTGGCCTAATTTTCGGTTTGACCAATTATTTATTTAATTATTAAGCACATACAACATATGAATTTTCTGTGTGCATCTGTGTGTTCAACAAAAATAAAACATACAATCAATAAAATGCTCAGGGACGACTTCAATCGTGTATTATACACTTGAGACCCAAATTAAAAATTGTAAATTTTGCAATATGTATAGTTAGTAGTAATAATATACCAAAAGAAATTGCATTGATACATATTAAGGCGGATCTACAATGTGGGTAGTTGGCCCCTCATCTTTCACCACCCCCATAAATAAATATATATATATATATATATATATATATATATATATATATATATATATATATATATATATATATATATATATATATATATATATATAGAGTTGCACTCGGGTGCGAATGGCTCGCCCAGGCGCGAAATAGGAATGAATTTTGTTCGTCCACGTGTCCAGATCTAATGGATGAGAAACACTGATTTTTTTAAAAAACGCGGTGGCATTTTCGTAAATAATTGAACATCGAAGTGCAAGTAAAATGTATTACAAGTGCATGTAAAATGTATTATAGGTGCAAGTAAAAATTTACACTGAGCATCAATACTTAGTTGCACTTATAGTTCTAAGTAGTTGCACCTATAATTCTAAGTAGTTGCACACATAGGTATAAGTAGTTGCATTTATGTGTATGAATGTTTGCGAGTGGCTTTCAGGAGTATTACTACCCGCTGAATTCAGATCAATGAATGTTAACAAGACAAAATTACATGCACTTATAGGTGAGAGTAGGTGCACATATAGTTATAAGTAGTTGCACCTATAGTTATAAATAGTTGCACATATAGTTATAAGCACACCCAGGTGCATGAATGGTTGCGGGAAAGTGAATGTTAACAAGGCAAAATTACATGCACTTATAGGTGAAAATATGTGCACTTATAAGAGATTTTACTTGCACTTCGATGTTCAATTATTTACGAAAATGCCACCGCGTTTTTTTTAAGTTATTAGATCTAGACACGTGTCACGCACTGATTCGTTCGCATTTCCTTCCTGGGCACTTATTCGCACCTGAGTGCGTCCCTATATATATATATATATATATATATATATATATATATATATATATATATATATAAACTAATTTCTATTCAAAAATTTAATTATCGTTAAATATAAAATAATGAAAACATGTCAACTTCTAAGTAATAATAAAATCAGCACGTCTACATTCCCATAGTAGCTATATATGAGTGTATACTATTATTCAAGCGATTATTTTTTCTAATTGGA